GGCCCGGGGGGACAAGTACATCCCCAAATTTATTGGAGACGACTGCGTGCAGATTGCGGTGAGTGAGTGCAGAACTGAAGACCGGAGTTGTCTGTCTATGACAAAAACCCGGCCTACCATGGGATTAGACACGGTATCTGTTGGGATTACTGTTAGTCTGAATTTCTGTAAATTGTTTTTAACAAAAAATTCCTTTACATGTTATTCATCTCCCTTCTTGGGAGTTTTAATTTATTTCTAAATAATTATCATCAGTTGTTCAGCTGTGCAGAGAACCATGTTTTAAGGGATGATGAAGTATTGGACTCAAACAACAGACATCAGGCATTGAAGTGTTTTCCATCGGTGTGGAAACATTTGGACCCAAACTTCATTACAGAAAAGTTTTACTTCAGCCACATTAGAGGTTTAACTACAGGATGTTAATCACACTGTCAGTACCTGCAGTGGTTCATGTTTTATTGCTTTTACAAATCAATCAAGAGCAACAAAATGCAACATTATTAACACAAAAAGCTTTAAATATCAAAATGAAAACTGATTTTTACAACATAATGACAAGTATAAATATTCAACATAAAATAAGTGAGTGCATAAGTCAGTATTTAGTTGATGTCACTTTGGCTGCAATAGCAACAGAGTCTATGTGGATCTGCCAGGTTGTCTATGACAGCCTAGTAGATTTTTCTCCATTCTTCCTTTTAAAAATGTTAAAACTCTGAAAAGTTTATTATGGGGATTCCCACAGGCTGATGCTACCACCACCATGCTTGTGGTGTGTTTGTGGCAATGCGCAGTTCTGTTGTCCCCCAAACATAGCATCTTGTCTGAACGGACAAAAAGCTCCATTTTGGTCTCATCAGAACTTTAATCTGATGAGATTAAAGTTCTTTAGTCTCATCAGATTAAAGAACTTTCTTCCACTCCACCATGGATTCTTCCCGTGCTTTCTGGCAATCTCTAGTCTGCATTTGATGTGACTGTTCTTCAGCAGTTCCTTTCTCGTTGCCACTCTCCTGTAAAGCTTTGACTGGTCAAGAATCAACAGTTGTTGTCTCCCATCTCAGCTGCAGAAGCTTGTGTTTCCTTCAGTGTAGTCATGGTAACCTGGTGTCAGCTGGCTTCAGCTATTTTTCAAAGAAGAATGTTTGTGAAGTTTTAATTTAACATTTAATTGTCGCTGTAAAGGTAAGTTGAAAGCTGGTTCTGAAGGTTGGCTCAGGGGCTGAATCCAAACGCACACCTTTTAGATTAAAAACGAAACATGAGCGTCTGTTATCAACAGTGGTTGACATTGTTGCTTTGTAGCATGAAGGTTCAGGGTTTGAACCTTGCTGATCTTGCTGATATGACTGGTTAACATGCAGTGACTTTTCATGCTGACGCCCCCTCTGTGTTGCAAAGAGGAAGTACTTCATCCTCTCTTTCTGGCTACCAGGGGAAGCCGTACCACTTTGACCGCGTGTTCCAGTCCAACACCACTCAGGTGCAGTTCTACAACGCTGTGGCTCTGAAGATTGTCAAAGGTAAGTCTTGATATCAGTTCAACACAGTAAAGTCTTGCAAGTTCAGAGTCGGTGCTGAAAGGGTTTTCTGAACTTTTCAGATGTTCTGGAGGGATACAACGGAACCATATTTGCTTATGGGCAGACTTCGTCTGGAAAAACACACACAATGGAGGTAATGCAAAGGAATGTTGGATACAGAGCTGTAAAACAGGAGCTGCTGGTTTCTTCTGTTTTTGCTTTTCTCATTCAGCTTTTCTTGTCTGAGATCATCCAACACACGGCAAACAAAAAAAAAATAAAAAAAAAAACACTACAGATGAGAAACAAAGTTATTGACATCCATCAGTCTGGAAATGGCAAATAAATCATTTCTTGGGCTTTCGGAGTCTAGAGAACGACCGTGAGAGTCGATGTCTATTAAGAAAACGTGGAAAAGTGGGGAACCTTCTGGAGTGGATGGAGTCAAGTTCATTTGTATAGAAATGTCTTATGGTCTTCAGCTAAAGACAGAAAGACAGAAGAGAAGAGAAATCCCCCAACTGCTGAAATCTGGCACCTCTCCATTTCTGTTTGCATTTCGTGAAGAAGGAAGTTGCGCTCATTTCTTCTTCAGAGGTTTTTAACGTTGTTTCCTCCAGTGGTTCTCACTACAGGCGGAGAGGTGAACAGGTTTTTCAGAGGGTTTGGTTCGTTTGACTCTGTGCAGTGCGAAAGTGAACCTCACCAGCTGAAAATGTAACAAATGTTGTCATTTTGGTCCTCAGTTGAACCGAGTCTACCGGACTATGAGGTGTGAAGACATTCTAAAATGAATTGGTGGATCTGAAACATTAAAGACAGACAAAAAAGTGAAAGATAAAACCTGTTTCCAGTGCCGTAAACTAAATTTAGTAGACATGTAGCGCATTCTGCCATCATTGCTCACTTTTTTTCTCTATATATTTTCCTCTGAAGGGAAAACTTCATGACCCAGATATGATGGGAATCATTCCTAGAATTGTCCAAGACATCTTCAACTACATTTACTCCATGGATGAGAACTCGGAGTTCCACATCAAAGTATGTAATCACCCGATCAAACGATGAGGAGGTCACATGTTGACAGTTTGTAAAGCTTCTCTTATAGAGCTTTTGTTTGGCAGGTTTCATATTTTGAAATCTATCTGGACAAAATTCGAGACTTGTTGGACGGTAGGCCTTTGGGTTTCTTGTGCCCTGCTTCAATGTGCTTTTACCTCCTGACTGCACACTAACTGCATCCACCTTGACTTTTCTGTACAGTAACGAAGACAAACCTGTCAGTGCATGAAGACAAGAACAGGGTACCCTTTGTCAAGGTGAGACGTCTCCTGGGTCCAATGGTGGGATTTTTTTTCTCCACGGTTTCCCTTGCACTATGTCATGGTCCTTCCCTTCATAACCAGGTCTCTGTGTGGCTGTGAGGTGGCTGAACACAGAGCTTCCTTGTGATGTGCCTTTGTGTCCGCAGGGATGTACCGAGCGCTTCGTGTGCAGCCCTGAGGAGGTTATGGATGCCATAGACGAAGGCAAAAACAACAGACACGTGGCCGTCACAAGTGAGTTCGCACACTGAGTGCCTTCAGAGCTGCTGGTTCTCATGGGTTCAGCCTCAGTGGGTCTCCTGACTGCCGCCACACTCAACGCCGAGCAGCCGCCTCCGCAATCTTTATTCCTTTACTTTTTCTAACATGTAACGAGGAGGGAATTTGAGAACACCTGGTCTTTTTGTGGGGGTGGGATGGGAGGTAACTAGTGCCTTGCAAAAGCATCCACACCCCTTCAGCTTTTCACTAAGAGACACCGATTGCCCTTTCTGGCCAATCGCCAATCCTTGGACTGATGATTCCAATTTTAGTTGATATTGATTTTTTTTTTTGGTGACATTTTTTGGTGTTTTCTAGGCCAGGCATTTATCCAAAAAAGTAAAAAATAAAGCTCAGAATTTTTTTGTAAAATGCTTTTATTGCTTGGCATCAATGCCAGAATTTATTCAACATACTTAATAGAGTTTAGAACAAACAAATTACATAAAAACAAGTTAATAGTTAAATAAATCTAAGATTGCAAGGAATTTAAACATAGTTTCCATGGCTACTGCCACAGAAAACTCAAACATCTCAGGTCATGTGAGCTAATGAAGCCCCCGATTGTGCTGGAGATAGACCAGCTCAGATATTTAGGCTGTTGATGGCAACATTTTATGCCATGTAAAGTTCAGATAATATGTCATTGTCTCACTAAAAATGTGTGAAATGACTCAAAACTACAGCAAAGGCCAGGAATTTTCCTCGAGGCGCAGTCGGAACCTTCATTTCTAAGTTAAAAGTTGAAAAAAGAAAGTGGCGCCACCACCTGGTGGCTGAGAGAGAAAACCATTACTTTCCACTTGATGGAAAAAAATACAATATACCAGAGGTCTCCATGTCTGAACTGTAAGATGAACAACACTACTCACCCAAAAACACAAGAAATTCAGCTCCAATTTGGCAAAAATTGTATCGATAAGTTGAATATGTTTTTGGATGATTTTCAGTCGGATCAATTTGTATGTATCAAGAGGAGGAAGAATGAACAATACACTGATACTTATTTTGTAGTGAAAGTTAGCTAGTTTTAGAAGCAACTTTATATTACATGTTGTTCAACATGTAATTTAAAGTAATTAAATTGGAAGGTGGGTTTGAGCTCCTTGAACAACATGTGACTATCTTAATATCTCTCCCCCCGCCCCCCCTCCACCACCCCCATTAGTGCCATGTCATTTTTCTGGATGATCCTCAGTTTGTCTCTGTCCACCTCAGACATGAATGAGCACAGCTCCCGGAGTCACAGCATCTTCCTCATCAACATCAAGCAAGAAAACACCCAGACTGAGCAGAAGCTGACCGGCAAACTCTACCTTGTCGATCTGGCAGGCAGTGAAAAAGTGAGACCCCTCCTCAACTTCTGAGCTAGCAGTATAATGTGAAGCATTGTCATAAAATTGGTTTGTTGTCAAGCATTTTTTTGTCAAGCATTTTTTTTTCCCAGACACAGAGATTAATGAGTCTTCTTGGGTTTGTTTTCTTGGCAGGTGGGTAAAACTGGAGCAGAGGGAACAGTTCTGGATGAAGCGAAGATGATCAACAAGTCCCTGTCGTCGTTGGGAAACGTCATCTCTGCTCTGGCGGAGGGCTCGGTGAGACGGCTCACACAGGATGATGTGGTGTCCAGATGCTGGAGGGCTTCACTGTCTGGGATATTGTTTCATAACCCAACACTATTTTAAACAGCTAGTAGATGTAAGCAACAGTGCCACCTGCAGGTGTGAGTTAGCTATCACTCAAACCCAATGTTTGTTTTTTGTACCATTTTGCATCGAAATTTGCAATAAACTCACTATTCTGTGTTAGAGTGGAAAAAAATGCGGGTCTAGCTGAATTTAGCTGAATTTTCAAACTTTGAGAATCTTCAAAAACTTTGTATGTTTTGGTTTAAAGGGACAGTAATTATAACAAAGGTCAGCTGACTTTATCAAAGGGCTTATTGTAACTCCAGCTACAACAACCTCAACTGTGTTAGAATGGAAGCATGTATTTTTTTATTTTTTCTGATTGGTATGACTTGTGGCAGAACACGTATGAAGTTTAAATTCCCGCTACATACAACGTTGTGTATGCAGCAATAATACATAACGTAGCAACATAAAGCAACAATTACAGTTGCTTTATGTTTTGCACTCTGTTCCAGAGCTACGTACCGTACAGAGACAGTAAGATGACCAGGATCCTGCAGGACTCCCTGGGAGGAAACTGTCGGACAACCATGGTCATCTGCTGCTCACCTTCTGCTTTCAATGACGCAGAGACCAGGTCCACTCTGCTGTTTGGACAGAGGTACACAGGCACACACAGAAAAGCTGTCTTGTATCGTTTGGTTTCATGAAGAGTTGCATTTTCCCCTCATTGGTCAAGTAGGAAAAGGACTTCTTGGCTAAAACATAAAACAAAAGCTCTGGGAACGAATGACATGAATGAGAACTGTTGACTTTCCTCAACAGGGCAAAGACGATCAAAAACACGGTGAGTCTGAATGTGGAGCTGACAGCAGAGCAGTGGAAGAAGAAGTGGGAGAAGGAGAAGGAGAAGAACAAAACTCTGAGGACCACCATCACCTGGCTGGAGGCAGAGCTCAGTCGCTGGAGGAAAGGTGATTTTACCATGGCTTGGTAAAATTAGACTCTTAAGAATTGCTGAGCTGAAAAATAACCCAACATTCATGTGAAGTTTACTTCTCACTCTGTACTCAGGCTATCATTATTAAAGAACTTTTAAAAGATGGAGAAGATACTTTTAAAAGTAGTGTAGACTTGATTTCCATTATTTTGTACTAAATCATTTGTTTGGGGCTTTATTTGTGGCCCTAAACTTTGGAACAGTTTACCTTTTGATATCCAGACCACTGAGGCTGTTAAGCCCTTAAAGTTTTTTTTCTCAAAGTCCATCTTTATTTTTTAGACATTTGCTTTTAGCACAGCTTGAGATTCATTTATAATGACAGTTTAGCTTATTTTTCTAGTTGAAACACAAAATATACCTTCACATGCATTAATACGCTCAGTGGAAACTATTTTAGCACTTCCACAGAAGTTAACACCCACAGTCTTCCATATCCACACTCTTTGGGAATCGGCCAATTAGCTTTGCAAACGCCAGCCAATCACATGTCCAGTAGCATTGCGCCAACATTACAAAGCAACTGTTACCTTATAAACTAAGGTACCTAAACTGTTGGGTTGAAGAATGAACTCAAAAGATTTTAGCGTGTGTAGACGGAGCAGCTCTTCAGTCATGCACAGGGTATTCCTGTCAATTCACTCTAAATCTGAGTCACACACTGGTTTATGTTTAGGTCCAAGACAAAGCATCCTTTGTCTTCACGTTAGCAGTGTCATGAGGAAAATCACAGCAGTTCTTAAAATGCGACCATGGCGAGACCAGGGCCAATCCCATTCTCACATAACACAAGAACATGATGCGGTTGCTGCCCCCTGCAGGAGAGAGCGTGCCAATGGAGGAGCAGTTTGACAAAGAAAAGGCTAAAGCTGAGATGGTGTCACTGGATGCTGTTCTCAACAACAATGAAAAGGCTGCACCCAAGCCGTCCCTGGGCAGCCTGCCTGGAGTGGCTCTCATGGGTCCAGAGAAGGAGAAGTATGAAGCAGAAATGGCCAAGCTCTACAAGGAGCTGGACGACAAGGTAACTGTTCTGACTCACTGCCTGTCGACGACCCAAGACCCACAGAAAACAGTCCAGGAACGTTATAGATTTCTGTATGGTTTGGCATGAGTGACTGGTGCAGTATTACTTCTTGATAGAAGATGGCGCAACTGACTTCTTAAAATAAGTAAAGGAGTGATCTCAAATTGGAGTCTTCTAGGGCCAGAGTGCTGCAACTTTTAGATGTAGGGATGCACCGATTGCAGTTTACTGGTCGACCATCGATCTTTAAGAAGCCAGATTTTCCGATTCCGATTTTGCCAGATACTGATTTTTTTCTCCGACAAATACAGTAAAAACATTGCTGAGTTGGCAACAGTAGGATAACTTTTAACAGCGAGCATGAAGACATTACCTGGCTAACAGTCAAACCTTTCCCACTGGAGAACAGAAGAGGACAGTGGTTGAGTTTTAGACCAAATTGTGATGTAAATAACATTGGTGAACAAGATCAAGATCAATGTTGGCTGATCACGGCTGATCACCAATCTCCCAAAACTAAGGAAACTGGGGCTGATTTATCGTTACTCCCTTTGTGCCTTGTCCTACAAACTGGAATAAAATGGTGAAAATGCGTCACTAGCATGCAGTCAAGCTCTATAGAGCTCTGCTAATGAGCTAATATTGGAGACAGCTGTGCTAAAGCAGAGACATCTAAATATTGCAGGACGGCGCTCCTGCAACTCTCCGATTATTGGATGACTTGTTTCATATCGTCCTGCTTTCCAGGACGATGAGATCAACCAGCAGTCCCAGGAGGTGGAGAAGCTGAAGCAGCAGCTGCTGGACCAGGAAGAGGTGATGCTTTGCTCTCTCTCTCTCTCTCTCTCTCTCTCTCCTTCCTCTCCCAGTCTGAATCCTGGGATTCACACCAACATCCTTTTCCTCTCCCATCAGCTGTTGGAGTCCTCCCGCAGCGACCACGACACCCTGCAGACGGAGCTGAACCGGCTGCTGTCTGAGAACGAAGCCTCCAAGGAGGAGGTGAAGGAGGTGCTGCAGGCGCTGGAGGAGCTGGCCGTCAACTACGACCAGAAGAGTCAGGAGGTCGAGGACAAAACCAAGGAGTTTGAGGCGCTTAGTGAGGAGCTGAACCAGAAGTCTGTAAGGCAGTCTGTTTGACAACAGCCTCAGGGGTTTGGAGTGCTGCCGGGAACGCTCTTCCTCACACTGACTGTTACCGCCTCCGTCCATCCTCAGAGCTCCTTGGCCTCCATTGACTCGGAGCTGCAGAAGTTGAAGGAGATGACCAACCACCAGAAGAAGAGGGTCACTGAGATGATGTCATGCTTGCTGAAAGACCTGGCTGAGATCGGCATCGCGGTGGGAAGCAATGACATGAAGGTGCGTCCCTCGTTTTCACATTACAAGAACATATCTGTGTTCTTCTGAATTAGAAAAGTTTTAGAAAAAAGGTTTTAAAAATGTTCTCCCTAAGTTTGACAGAAAATGGACTGTTTTTAACTTTATATCATGTTATATTCCTTCATCAAAACCAGACCTGGAGTGTTGCGTTGATTCTTTCATGCATGTTGGAGGACTATTGTAATCTCTATGGCAACCACTCACTGTGAAAAACACCTGGCTGGATCTCGCTCTGCCTCCAAGGACAAAGCTCCTCCTTGGAGCTGCAGTTTCTGAGCTTCTGCCTCACAGGCCACTGTGCTCCTTCAGACCAGCCAGCAGCAATTAGCAAACATCTAGAGGAACCGTGCATCTGTTCCTCTCATTACAGGAGGTACTTCTCAGTGCAACATTAATAAAAAATATTTAGGTGTCAATAGAGGAGCCATGTGGTGATGACTTTCTTAATGTGGAGTTTGAGAAAGAGCCAGAGTTTTTAAAAAGAAACAAAATTTCAAGGCGTTAAATTACAAAGTCAAATTTCTTGTAAGTAAAATTTGACATATAACAACTGAAGTTAGAATAGTTACTTAATTGTGCTGTAAAATAGCACAATGTGCCTGGAAAACACCAAAATACTGCCTGTTAAAGATGTGAATACTGTTGAAAGGCCACAAGATGGCGCTCCTACAATGTCTTTTCATGCATTTCAGACAGCTCACGTGCAGCTTGTTGAGCCAGAACTGCAATTAGTAGTTGATTGTTGTGGAAAAGTCTCCCAATTGGGTTCAGGCAACAGACTGAAAACCCTGATGAAGGACGTAACACAAATGTAACACTGTTCACATGAAAGGCAAAAAGAAAAGGGCTGGATTTACAAAGCATGTTTCCATCTGAAAATAACTATATAAACGCAGCATGGTGAGAAAATAAGAACATGATGATAATCTGGCTCACATGTTCAAAACTGGCTAAAAGAGGAACTTAAACATTTTATAGACAACTACATTTTCTACTGTTTCACTTATCTGAGTTTAGCAGGATGTCAGGCTGGAACACATCCAGTGTTCTGTGTGTTTGCTACTGACTTCTGTTATCTGTTTGCCAGCTGTAGGTTATATCAGTTGGAAGTTGCACAAGTGAAATTTCCTGTGATTTCACTGCTTGTTTTAGACAACATGCAAACATCTTTATCTGCAGAGGAGATAAAGATACAAACCCCTTCATGCCAGCACCGACATCAGATCACACACTAACGGTAGCCGTCGTTTCTCAACCTCTCAGCAACAGGAGAGCAGCGGGCTCATCGACGAGGAGTTCACCATGGCCCGGCTCTACATCAGCAAGATGAAGGCCGAGGTGAAGGCCATGGTGAAGCGCAGCAAGCAGCTGGAGAGCAGCCAGGCCGAGAGCAGCCAGAAGCTGGAGGAGACGGAGAGCGACCTGTCCGCCTGCAAGCTCCGCGTCTCCCAGGTAACCGCTGCTCCATCCGTCCGTCCGTCTGTCCATCTGTCTATCGTATGCCAAACATGTCTGCACAAGCTCACGGAGACCATGTGTGTGTTTCTCGTGTGTTGTTTCTCCTCTCCTGTCAGTATGAGGCTAAGATCAAGTCCCTGACAGACAACCTCCAGAATGTGGAGCACAAGAAGAGACAGCTGGAGGAGAACGTGGACCTCCTGAACGACGAGATAGTCAGGATCAGAGCTGAGGGTGAGCGAAACAGGGTTAGCTTCAAACTCAGACACAGTTCACGTGACGCCATTTGACGTAAAGTCAAGATTAGAACGACTTGACTGAGATAAACCCTGAAAAATGTTCCCCCTTTGGTTGCAATTCAATTTGGATGCATTAAATAATTTGTAATAGAGGCCAAATATTTAAATCTCCATTGGTGGTTAGATGTAAGAGATTGAGGTTCAATTTGGCCCCATTTGTGTGGGAAGGGTAATCCTAAATATAAAGGGGCCGAGCATCAGCCTTGTGGAATACCTGATCTCTACAAAGTTAAATTAAGTAATATTAAACCATCAAACAACTAAGAGTCCAGCCCTTTAGTTCACCAAAAAAACTAAACTATGATGAACAAATTCTTCAGGTTTTAAGGCAAGACTAAAAGGTTTCCTTGAAATTAGGAGAAAAAAAATTTGAATATTGTGACAATAAAGTCGTTATATTAGAATAAAGACACAATAATGTGAAAGCAAAACTTCAGTTGTTGTCAAGTAGCTTTATTTGTTATTATTCTCGTAAAATTACTTACCCATTCTCCTAATATGCCACTATTTTCTGGTAATATTATGACTTTATTCTTGTATTATTAAGACTTTGTACTTATATTATGACAACTGTAATATAATATTATGACTCTTCTTCTATTACTACCATTTTATTCTCGTATTGCTACAACTGACTTGTGCTCATGTGAAAATGAGTATTTCAACAAGATACAGATCCAAAACATCATAATCAACACAGAAAGTATTCACCAAATTTTAGTGAAACTTCTGCAAAATTATTTTACTTTGTGTTTTTTTGTTTGTTTGTTTGTTTGTTTCAGAGAAAGTAAATGCCATGGAGAAAGAGAATGAGATCCAGTCTGCCAATGAAGTCAAGGTATTCTACGCTTCTCTACTTTCGCTTCTTAACCTTGATGTGACACGGGACAACATGTCTGCGTGTGTGTGTGTGTGTGCGTGTGTGTGTGTGTGTGCGTTTGTGTGTGTGTGTGTGTGTGTGTGTGCGTTTGTGTGTGTGTGTGTGTGTGTGCGCGCGTGTGTGTGTGTGTGTGCGTGTGTGGTGTGTGTGTGTGTGTGTGTGTGTGTGTGTGCGTGCGTGTGTGTGTGTGTGTGTCCAGGAGGCTGTGGAGAAGCAGATCCAGTCTCACAGAGAGGCCCATCAGAAGCAGATCGGCAGCCTGAGGGACGAGCTGGACAGCAAGGAGAAGCTGATCACGGAGCTGCAGGAGTAAGAGCGACGTCTGAAAACCTCCCCAACGCTGTCGTTGGCGAGCGTGCAGCTGTGCTGAATGTGTTCCTGCGGTCCCTGCAGCTCCAACCAGGAGATCGTCCTGGAGCAGGAGAGGCTGAAAGTGGAGCACGAGAAGCTGAAAGCAGCCGACCAGGAGAAGAGCCGCCAGCTGCAGGAACTCACGTAAACGTTGCCGTTTGATCAAAAGGGAAGCTGTTGCTATCGGCATGACAACCTGTAGGTGGTAATAACCCGATTGCTGCCCCGCAGGCTGCTGCAGGACCGACGAGAGCAGGCCAGGCAGGACCTGAAAGGACTGGAGGAAACTGTGGTCAGTTATTACCTCCATCATTTAACAAGGAGACAAATTTGCTTTGTACATATTTCTGATCTGACATGGAGAGGATTTGGGTTGGGATCAGAAGTTACAATCATTCAAAAAAAGAGAAGAAAATCTGCTTCTTTTATTCTTAAGATTCTCCTAGAATATTTACAGATGTGTAAAACCTCAGACCTGGCGACTCTTTAGCCGTGTTTCCATCTAGCTTATTTTTTTACCTGGAAATTTTTAAGCAATGCATTAGAAAAGGTTGATGGAAACAGCTAAATTTGAAATAGCTTGCTCAATTTCTCAAAAAATGTCGCTAGAAAAAGTTGGACAGCCAGGAGAAGCCGATCACTTCAACAACTGTTTAAGTTCCACATCGAAATGAATTCCTTCTTACGTTTATTCGCAGCGATTGTTAGAGGCACCAATAACTGTGTCGATTTTTCTTGGACATTTTGTATTTAATACAAATAATCGGTTCAGTTTGAGATGATGCTAGCCTGTGTTGGGGGTTTCTGCACATCTTTAGCAAAACGTGTGTGTGTGTTATTGAGAACAGATTCATTCAAGTCTATTGTTCTCAGAAGTGCATTAAAAACTAGGTAGTGAGGAACAACGGATGCTTTTGATGGCTATGTTCACCCTGAACATTTAATTATTGGGGGTCACCAGGGTGTAGCCAGTGTCTCCCCCAACGACTGCTCTAGATAGACACTGAAGGAGGACAAGGAAAGAATGAAGGAATTGATTGGTTGACTGATTGATTGTCTACTGAGGTCTAATAATGGACAAGCTTAATCTTTTCTGCCACCCTTTTCTTTGCTCTGTGTCTCTTTTTTTAGGCTCGGGAGCTGCAGACACTCCACAGTTTGCGGAGGCTTTTTGTGCAGGATTTATCCAGAAGAGTAAGAAAGGTAGAACTTGTCATGTTCTATTTTGTCTTTCCACCAAAACACGCGTGCTTTCCACCAAAACACGCGTGCTGCCTGCTCTTTGAAAGCCACCGACACGCCATTGCCACGTGGTGACCATCAGCAGCGATCAGACGAAACGTCTTTCCATTTTGCGCTGCTGTGGCGCTGAGCTTCATTTGCACCATGATGATTTTTTAATGAGTCCGGGGAACACAACAGACAGCGTCTGTGATAACTAGGCCATCTGATTCTTGAAAGGCGGCGGATGTAAATCGGGGGCCCGGGGCTCCGGCGCGGCGCTCATCTTCAGCCGTCAGCCCGGGGCAGATGGCAGCGAGATGAAAAGAGGCACATCCAGGCTTTTCCCGTTCACTCACACAAAAATGCAAATCTGCTGCTAATCATGTCCTTTAGCCTCAGATTTAGAGCCACTTTTAAAGGCTCGGCCTGATAGGTTTGCAGTTGTGTAAAATAAATAGATTGGGGTTTGGGATTATAACGTGCCAAAATGTGACAAACTTAAAGGTGCAGTATGCAACTTTTATACAGAAAGTATATTTTTCTTTTACAAATGTGTTGAGACTTTCACATATGACAGATAATTTGTGAAAAAAAAATCAAGATCCTCTGTTATTTCCCAATGCTCCCAGTGGCATCTGAAAACAGCCAATCAGAGTGAGGAGGCGGGCCCTTGTCGTCTGCTACAGTGAGCTAGCAGAGTCTGTTGTGAATGCTAAGACTAGTTAGCTAGCACAGTCACCGACAACAGCAGGTAAGAGTTCTTCCTCTGAGTTGTTTCTCTACCATTATTAAAATTAGCAACAAATACATGGATATGATTAACAGCGCTAAGACCCTCTTCCTGGCTCTGATTGGTTGTTTTTGATCAGGAGTGGTGCATTTCTTTAGACAAAACTGGATCTTTCCACATATTATCTGTCTCATACTAAACTGTATCGACACTGTGAAGGTTTTAACAAACATGTAAAAATATTTTTATAAAAGTTGAAACTCTTTGCTATGTTTGGATAGAATGGGCAGGACATGGATGACTCGGAAGCCTGCGCTGCTCAGAAACAAAAGATCAGCTTCCTGGAGAGCAACCTGGAGCAGCTCACCAAAGTTCACAAGCAGGTAAAAACTCACAAGCACCCTGCACCCCTCCACCTTAAGTCCCTCCACACCCCTCCCACACACACACACACACACACACACACACACACACACACACACACACACACACTCGCTCCTCATACAGCAGTCTCCACCTTTAGAGGCGTTTTGACTAACAGTTCACTCTCTCTTTGCAGCTGGTGCGAGACAACACCAACCTTCGCTGTGAGATCCCCAAAATGGAGAAGCGCCTGCGTGCCACAGCGTCGCGAGTCCAAGCACTGGAGGCCGCCCTGAAGGAAGCCAAGGAGAGCGCAGCCCGCGAAAAGAAACGTTACGAGGAAGAGATGGAGCGCATCAAGGACACAGTCAAGCCCAAAAACATGGGCAGGAGACCCTCTGCGGTCATAGGTGGGCAAAACTGTAGTAATATGATGATCGGAAACCAGGGGGTGCTGTAATGTAGTAGGTCTGTCAGGTTCAGGTAAGCTGTATATACTTCTGAAGCCAGAGTGAAGAGTATCACATGTTGCAAATTTGTCAGGAATTGTAGCTTCTCTTTGGACCCATGCTTTGGCTTTCTTTACAAAAAACCAACTCAAATCAGTCCTGAAAAAGAAAGCAAAGTCTTTCATTAGATATTCAAATACTTCTCTTCTTATTTTTTAAAATTGTCGGCCAACTTTCAAAACCCGAGAGACTTGAATTAAAATTCCAACACACAAACTGATTTCACTCACCAGCATTCAGCATTCACAAAACCTCTCAAGGTCAAATGTGATTTCAGAGAATACAAAGATGGCCGACGCAGAAAAAAAATCTAAATCAGCTGGTTTAGTTGTGCTTTAATGTGCATTTAAACACACTTCTCTTGATTGAAATGTTATAACTGATGCGTTGTGTCTTTTTGTCAAACCCAGTGAAGCCTATCAGACCGGGCCAGCTGCCCGGAGCGTCTCCCTTGATTGGCATCAACCGGGCACTACTACTGCAGAACAGCCAATCTGATACCATTGGAGAGGACAATGACAGGTAGTACCAGAACACATCAAGCTCCATCAGTCTGTTTCTCTAATGAACAAATTTCTCTGAAAAACACAAGAGGAAGCAAAATAACTTGAGTAAGCAGAAAGAATTCACTTTCCTTTTCTTTTACCTCACAGCAGTTAAGGATCTTCAGACAGATGCCCAAACTGGAAGCCAGAACCTCAAACCAGCAGACTGCACTAAGTCCTGGACACTCTGCACAAATCCTCCAGTGTCAAAATGTGTACATACTGTATAGAAAAGCACCGCAGCTCTTTAAGGCTAACAAGCTGCTGATGCAAGCAAGATTGTTGCAAATGCCCTGAAAATTCTGCTTCTACCGTGAGAACTTTGTGTTCGTTTCAGCCGCATATTAATCATCAGCTGGTAAAAGAAAGCGAGCCGACGCTGCACTAAAGACCTCTAACGTGGCCGTTTACACGACATTGTCGCCAAGTCAACACGAACCCATTCAACCGCAGGGTAGAACAAATCCACGTGTGGATGTGGCGTCATTTCCTTCAGCTGAATGGAAACAAAACTGAAGTTATTATTTCTTGACCTACGCAGCAGCTTCAGTTATTACAGCTGGAAACAAGAGATCAGGCCCAAAATCTGGGTGCAGTGCTGAACTCTGACCCGAACCTTCAGAGCCACACAAAGATAGTCGCAAAGTCGGCCTTCTGTCACCTGGAGAACATCTCCAGGATGAGAGGATTCATGTCCCAACATGATGAAGAGAAACTCATCCATGCTTTCGTCTTTAGTTGCATTAACTGTAGGTCTGTCGCCATATTTGACGAAATATATCTATGTCTTCACTTAACAGAAGCTGAATGAAACAAAGGATAAAAAGAATCAATTTTCCCAGATTTAGTTTTTGTTTTCTAAACATAATAAATTGCAGTTTGAAGAATCTCAATATTTGTGGCATTATTTCCTGATAATGTTAACTTTAAATCATCATTTAAAGTTACATATTTAAATGATGATTTTATTGCATTCCATGGAATCCATATTTCCATTCTGGAAAGCAAGAATAGCGGAATCCCATTTGTGCTTCCATCTCTCATTTCCTCCTCACACTGACAGGCTGAGCTTCTTTTCCCTGCTGTGGCTCTTTTTCAGACAAACATTCCTACATTATCCTGAAATCCTGCCCGCTTGTTCTTTGTCCTGAGGCTGATGTCAGTCAGTCTGCAGTCTGGGTGAGTGTTTTCCACTGAAGGCCTGCTTTGCTCTTGGATCATGCGAGCATTAAATCATTCATGATCTTGCTCTGATGGTGAAACCACCCGCCGTGTCTGCCAAAGAGCAGTCAGCGCCGACGGGAGGGGCCGCGGGGAAACTTTACGCGCTCAAGATCTGAACAACGTGAACGTTAAAGCCGGGATTTTGCGTGTTGTAATCAATCGTTGGAGGCGCGACGGGATGAAAGGAGACGTCAAACATACTCCAGCTGGAGCAGAGAGTTTCTGGAGGTGTCGAGCCGGGAGGCGCGCGGGCCACGGGGCCACGGGGCTCCGGATGCGCCCCGTCAGCGCTGACGGACAGACGGGCGGGATGTGAGAGACAAGCCCGGTGTTCGCTGAGGAGAGACCGCAGCGGGATCAAGCTGCTGAGTGAAGCTCCAATCACATCCGCCAGGAGCTCCAAAATAAAAGCAGGAAACTTGAATGAATTGGGAGTTAATTGAAGCTTTAAAAAAACCTAAAGGCCTAATAACATTTAATTATGTTTATGTGTTGAATTGCTTGACTTGATATTAAAGTTTTGTAAAATATTGTTTTGTGTGTGAATGCAGATAACAAATACATAATCATCTAAAAAATAAATACAGCAAACTCACCTCTCAACACAAAATGTTTTTGCACATATCAAATGACTTAGATACATCATTTTGCATGCCTAAAGTGTAACATACACTATCAACATGCGAATTGTAGGTATCTTGAAAATATTACAAAGCAGTGGCATTACAAGTTTGAAGCAAAAAGTTCTGTTCTCCAAATCGGAAGAATATGCAACATTTATTTATTTATTTTAATCCATGATGCCTCCCAGGGGACACTGGCTTTGACAGGGAGCCATATCTCCCCCAGTGATGATAGATCATTTGTTTCATAGCTAGTCAACATTAGGAGTGCTCCCCCCAGGAAGGTGGAGGTGGGGGCTTGTGGGAGGGGGCATAGCCAATAGCCACCCCGGAAAAATCCTATGTACACCACTGGCCCCCTGACTACAATCTTGAGTTCACGCGAAATCATACAGTCGTCTCCTTCAATCAAGACATAAATATGAAACAATAAATAAATATAAAAGAAAAGATTGAAAGAATATATATATATATATATATAATATATATATATTATATATATATATATATATATATATATATATATATATTGTTTTTGCCACCCCAAAAGTTAGATTACACAATAACACTATTCATAAAGATTCAGCCACTCAATAAAAATGAAAAAATAGACACAAGAACGACATTTCAATGAACCTTTTATTATGACAGCGCTGACCGGATGTGGTCGCTGTTGTCTCCCTGAACTTGACGTCCAGCAGAGAGGCGGGGGATTGTGAACGGAGAGGCTGACAGGAGGACTGGAGGACTGCTGCTGCTGCTGCTGCTGCTGCGGGTCTGTCGGGTAACTCGCCGGGTATCGGGGCTCCGGTCAACTTCTCCTGCTCTCCTTCAGCGGAGGCCATCGGAGCACAGAGACCGACACTAAAGCAGCTCGTTCCGGACAGGGGGGTGAGTGCAGTGCGGTTCGGTCCGGTTCGGTTCTACGTGACGTTCTGGCCCGGTGAGAGGCTATTGGCTTCTAACGGAGTTACTTTGTTGCTATGCACGCTGTTGCAGAGCTGGAGGCTCCCAGGGAACCTGCAGAGCTTTTGGTCCGCAGCGGAGCAACGCAGGAAATATTCGGGGCAGCGTCCGAATGGAGAGGGAGCGGCTCGGCTGGCGTCACTTTTCTAACGGTAAAAGTTGAGCCAGGTGCTGTAATTAAGCATCCCCTAATTGTTGGGCTCGTTTCCTCCCGCTGGTTCAGGTGGTGGTGGTGGTGGTGGTGTTGGTGTTGGGGGTCTCTGTCCGGGTTCCTGGGAAGCTGTGGTGATGGTGACGGGGATTCTTTGTTGTCAACGAACAAGGATTAAACTTCTTTGTGTTGGGCTGTTTGAGACAGGGAAGGAATGGACCCTGCCCCCCATCTGAACGCCCCTGGGCAACTCACCCCCCACCCCCTAAAAATAACTAACTAAATAAATAGCATCAAGTCAGCGTGCTTGTTTGCAGTTTTAACAGTTCTGTAGTGGTTTTAATAAGCCGCACAGGCTGCAGCGCATGCTGGAGTGGATGCTGGGTCACATCTGTTTTGAATGAAGCGCAGGGACAAAGGCAGTCAGTCTCGCTGTGTTTTGCTGCTGAGGTTGTCGCCCTGCAGATGTGTGTCGACAAAAAGCCCGTTCTCTCTAACGCCATATATATATATATATATATATATATATATATATATATATATATATATATATATATATATGTCTTTCACTCTGGATTTCCCAGTTAGGCTTCTCGTTAAATGCTTTTGCTGCATCTGTGCCTTTAAAGCAGTGAGATGTTGATGTGGTTGCGTGAGCGCTGACTGTGAACACGGTGACAGTGGAACAATAGTGTCCTTGGAGTTGAAAGTTTTCACACTGCCAGTTGCACTTTTAAGCTTTTCAGGAGAAAACCACAGATTAACTTAGCGCAGAAAAGTAAGACTTTCAGCTGCTTCCATTCACTGCCACTATGTTTTGGAAATTGCCTTATAGCTTCTAAAAATTGGTTTCAAAAATTGCTGAAAAAGCCCATCATATGGTTCCTGTCAGGGATGCACGATATATCGGCTCTAACATCGGCTGATATTAGTCATTTTTGAACATATCATATTGGTCCAATATTTATTTTGATCTTGTTGCCATTTGTTTTTGGTCAGGGATTTGTTTTCCCAAACATGTTGAAATTGTAGTGAACCATATTGATAAATATTGTTAGCAGGTCATAACGACATCAATATCAGATATCGATCAGCCCAAACTTTGGTATTGGTGCATCCCAGCTCCTGTGGTTTGATGTCCTATTTAATGAGATACTAGAGAACGTTTCTAAAAGCTCAAGTCATAGTTACCCAGTACTGTCCCCTCACCCCCACCTATTACCTTACACTGGTCGCAAGGAGACTATACTGATAAAAATCAGAATACCAGCAAATAGTTATGATAAATAATTCTTAGGGGTGCAGAACCCATACATCAGCTGGCCAATAAATCGGCACCGATTTCCAATAAACGATATGTTTAGTTCATGATATACGTTTTTGGTTGTTTGTGATGCATTAATTTGGTAGAGAGAATGTGTTGTAATTTTTCACCAGGTCCTGTGTGAAACTCATAATGATCCTTGCAAACTGTAGACTGACAGATTGAAAGGATCTGTTAGGATCCTGATTGTTGTTATAGATTGTGTCTTTGCAGTGACATGTTGACCTCTACATTACTGTAGTACAAGTTAAAGTTAATGAAAAAACTAATGTGCGAAAAAGTGAGATTTCTAGCTACTTCCTTTCACTACAACTATGTGACTGGTGTATTTCTGCTGCAGATGAGATGTGTTGTCTCTATGGCAACAATATATATATATATATATATATATATATATATAATATATATATATATATATATATATATATATATATATATATATATATATATATTTCACTTTGCTGCCCTCCCTCTCTATTGAATTAGAGATTTTTCAGTGTATCCAGGCCTGTCACGATGTCAAACTGTCCAGGAAGTTATCGCGATAAACAATAATATTGTTGTTGTGAAAACTTCCACTGAGCTCAATAAGCTTTAAATTCAAAATAAATGAACAAAACAACAGAAAAGAGAAAAACAATCACTTACTGAGCTTTCTCAATTTCTTATGATTCATTGCTCACTGGGACACGAGCAATAAAGTTTCCAGAATGTCGTTCTGGAAGTCCGCAGGTTTCAGAACCGCAGCGGGTTTCCTGGATGTTAATATCTGAACAGGCAGACTCGCCCGTTGTGCAACATGCTTACAAATCTCCGCTGATCAACAAGTCGGCTGGCACGCCGCCGGCCGACTTTCACCGCTGTGTTGACACCACACAGCGCCGGGAATCTGTTTCTGCTGGAAGTTTACTCACCCGGGACGTCTGGCAGAGCACTCAGACCGCAGAGCAGCTGGAAGGACCAACTGAGCTGTCAGGGTTTTTTTGTATTATTATTTGTTGTTTGCAGTAGTGCGTGTGTGTGCGTGTGGTGAAACAGTAGTGAGTCGTTGCAGTGGGATTGTTGGCCCCTGCCAAGTTGGGAAACGTCATGCTTGAACTTGAGCCAGTTTTGGTTCTTGAGTTTTCTCTGGGTCTCATTTCCCACCATCCCTACTGAGCTCCAGGATCCAGCTCACTGTCGGTGGGTCGGGTTCATTCATGGTGGCGCTGGTGGCTGGACGCCTCTGATTTTTCAGTTTTCATGTTCATCTAAAGGTAATGGCGTCCAGACTTTTTGAGGCCACAAATTTTTTGCAAATTTATTTAAGTATAAATGGGCATAAAAAAATTGTTTTTTACATTTACCAGCTAAACAAACAATAAACTCAGCACAGAATGTTTTTATGAAATAAGCAATAGAGGAGCCATGTTGTGATGACTTCCTGAAGGAGGAGTTTTAGGAAGAGCAGGTCTTCTTTAAGAAATCCAATTTTCAGGCGCTAAATCCTGAAGTCAAATTTATTTTAAGTCATATTTGATACATATAGCAATTTTATAACAATTTAAATTAATATAGTTGTTTAACTGGGTTGTAAAATGGCACCATGTGCTTGGAAAACATAATACTGGCCCTAAATTCTTGATGGAAGCATCTAAATTGACCTTTACCCCTCGGTGTGGACATCTCTCCTGAGCTGTAAATCTGCTCAGGGTGTGGAGCTGTCAGTCCGTCCTCCTTCCTCTTATAGATTCAGCAGCAGGTTCTCACGCCTCAGTAAAAGCACCTGCTCTCCACCAGCAGTGCTGCTATTTCTGGGAGTTCGTAAAGAGGGGGATCCACCGCTCAACACCCTCCGTATTTATTTAGGCTGGCAGACGAAGGGATACTCTGTCAGGCGGATCGATGACGGGCCCCATCCCAAAGCAAACCCTGGAGGAACGGAGAGGGGCCCCAGCTGTCTCTGTCACCTGACTCACACTCTGACTGTGATACGTCAGGACGGTTTTAAAAGCTCCTGACTGAGTCTGCACTGTGAGTAATGATGTCACTGCTCAGATCTGGGATGGAATAAGAAGACCAGTGTTGTTTTCAGAGGACTGCATGCAGGATTGGTTGAGCGACGTCTTGTTGTCATCACCTTTAGCGCTGCAGACCAGGCTCCTTAATGGTCGTATGGGTAATCTGGAGGAGTCACCCCGCAGCGCTCTTTATCGACTCACCATTCATGCACGGCAGGCCATCGTATTATAGTGTCAGTGTGCTGCAGCAGCAGCACTTTGTGGTTGTGGTATTAAGGGTGACTAATAAGCCGGGAGTAGAAACCAAGACCCCGGAGGTTTGTGGTCGGTGGTGAGGAAAGAGGTGGAGGAGTTACCGCAACGAAGAAAAGTAATCCTAGGAGTTGATGCATAAAGAGAAATAATGTGTAGTTCTAG